CTTTTTTTAATAAAAGTTACCTTATCGGTTCGCGTTGTAGTCAGCTCTCGTCTCTGTTTTGCACCAGTCTACCACTTTCCTTCTCGGCCCCTGCCTTGCCCTTTCGCTTCGTGTACAAATGTAAAATGCATAACCTGTAAAATAGTTCCCTTCGTTGCGCATACGCATCACACATATCCACACATGTAGACAAACACACAGGCGGGCCGACTGGTACCCACATGGAGACGCACAGAGTAAGACAAGCGGACGGAAAACAGGTTCTTCTGCCTTCAAGGTGTCGAGAGCCCCGTCTAACAGAAGCCTAGCACGATGAATAATTACACTTTTCTCTGATGTCTGAGGTGAGTCTTGAAAAATCAATGGTTGGCAGGGCGGATCAGCCCTCTATGGCGTCCGGAAAATAGTGTTCCTAAAGTTATCTCAGTAATTGCTTGGCCACCAACCCATCCTCAGTGAAGCCACTGCTGAGCCATGGCTTCAAACCACCCGCTAGTCCAAAAGGACAGCTTCTGTAGACGAGGCTCGGACTTGTTTCAACAGGCTGTACCACATGTCCGAGAGGGTGTAGGTTTTTTCTTAAAAATCGCTGGGACTCTGAGCCGGTATCGAGGAGAGTAGAAGAGAATGCGAGAGCCGATTTGTCCTCCACTCCAACTCGTTCAACTTCAGGGTGGTGTGTGTCTGTGTGCTTCTTGAAGAGGCAACAACACACTGACGCAGCTTGTTGCCACCAACATGGTCATTTTTCTAATCGCCGTTCAGACAGACACTGCGCGAAAGGTGAAAGTGTGAGAAGATGCTGAAGATGTCGAAACTAATGGTAGCGCAGGCAAACAGCAGCATGAATGGTAGCAACAGCTGTGGCGTTGACGACACTGCTAACGCCCAGTGCTGCTAGTATTGTCACAGACAAGTGAAAACGGAAAAAAATGTTGGCACTTCCATGGGCCCCTCACAGGCCCAAAATGGTCGGCTTTTTCAGTACATGTTTCGTGCTCTTGTCGCCACGGCAACACGGACAAAGGGTCTCGGGAGCCAGTCTCTCAGGTCAGTCTCGACCCATCTGAATCGGTCGGCTCGCCCGTGCTCACTGGCGGCGTGAGCACAGCGAATAAGACAAACTCAAGCCAAACGGTGAATCTGCTGATGAGCTGGGCGTTGACTCGAGGTCGAGCAGACCAGACCAGACCAGACCAGCAGGACCTCGTTTAGCCTGTCTCACTTGGTCACCGACAGGACCAAGTGAAAGTGGTACTGACAGGGCCGATCAAGCGGAGCAGGTGAGTTCATATACGCACGCGTGTAAGATTTATGCATGAATGCCTTCAGGCCAGTCGGCTCGCAAGTATGCATTCAGTCCTGTCAATTGGCTTCATAATGTGCATATATATATATATATATATATATATGTGTGTGTGTATGTGTGTATTAGGTATGTGTAGTGTGCTCAAGGCTATTCATTCATACCTGTCGTGAGGAGGCAGTGCAAAATATGACCAGTCATGTACAATTGCTTCTGCCGAAGAGACAAGAAAATGCTGTGTGTGTGTGTGTGTGTGTGTTTTGCTGGCTGTGCTTAAGCGATTGAAATGAGGACTCACCTGATGACAAATGACTTCGAATTGTAAGAATCAGCCTATAAAAGCACGGCTACATTGTCGG